GTCACAGATTTGTTACTAATGATCTGAGTCCTCTTCAGGTTTATTCTCGGTCTGACCGTAATATTGGCTCCCAAATCCTGCTGGTTCTGGAGTTCCGGTATGTTGAGAGAATCAGAATATCTTGCACCAACCACAGTTAGCTGAAGTAGTGCATATTCATATTCAGCTCATAATTTTCTCAACGGAGTGTCTTGAAAATCTCTTTGAGGTCTGCTGTGAATAACTTAACTGAGATTGCATCGCCGTGTAGAACGGATTTTTCGACGTCATATCCAGTGGATTTATTCCTCAATGCTGTAATACAAGTTCAGATGCACGCTCAACAAAATGAAACTCAAAACGGCTATCGTGCATTACTTTTACTGTAGTATTATTTATGAGATGAGTTTCAATTTTACCCTAACGAGATGTTATCTGTTAAATAACGTTAACTTCCTTAATGTAAATAAAATGCGAAAAATATCGACCAATAAATAAAGACTGAATAAAATAAAGATCGAGAAAAATGCGGTGAAAGATGCAAACTTCTTCTCACCGTCATCAGTAAACTGTCACTATAATTTCGCTTAAATATCGAAAAAAAGAAAGGATGTATGTACCCAATGAAATGGTTTTCTTAAGCTTCCACGTGTGGCATTCTTCTTTCGTAGAATACATGATGCTGCACTAATTACCGTTGTTGTGTCAATATCCTCAAGCACATTTTTCATTTTCGTTTTTGGTGTTGTATTTACATTCAGGTAACCAACTACAGAGCCTGATATTTTGTTTACTGATTGTGAAGTTGCATCCGTTTGTTTAATATAGAGGTATGAAAGACAAATGATCCGAAACGAACTCGAACACGCATTTTTTTGAATATGATTCTTAGTCTTAGCGACGACTGAGCTATTCCATTCTGACACCGGCTTAGTCAAAATATTTCTCAGTATTTCACGTTAAGAGTTAAAAAGGAATGGCAGGGAAGGGATGTAATCGTTGGAATGTCGGTTTGCTGTCCAATTTAAAGAGGGGGTCACCAGCTGCCTTGGTTTCATGAAGTTACCGGCGGGGCGCTATCT